AAAAAAAAAAAAAAAAAAAGAAAAGGAAAATTATTCAGAAGGAAAGAGGAACTAGGGTGGGGGAAAAGGGCAAGCTAGGGAAAGGGAAAAAATACAAAATAATTATACTACTAGTTTCTTAGTTAACTGAAAAGTAAGCTTTGTTGTAAAATTGTCTGGAGAATTTTTTATGCCCATATCTTGTACTGTTGAGTATTTTGAAGGTAACAATACAGAATACATTAACTATTATTATTCCTATTAGTTTTGAATTTTTTCATAAAATAAAAACTGTAAAAAATAATTTTGGAATTTCTAAGTAAAACAAATATACTCACAAAGAATAGCAGGAAATTATCTTTCATGTATTGTTAGTGGAAATATTTTAAGGTCATTTTTTTTGCTATGTTATGTATGTATGTACTGAAAACAAAAAAAACCTACCTTCTGTGAACATGCTTTTGTGTGGTTCACTACCTTGCATGAATGTGAAGAGTATTAGCTTTTCTTACACTATCCCCACCTTAGGATCTTTTAAGTAACTTTTAAATTTCTTTAATATTCTAGGAGTAAGATAAGTTAGAATTGGGTGAATTGAAACATTATAAAGGACAATTAAAATATATTTTTAAGGAAAAATTGCTGTGTAGAAAAAATATCATTATTAATTGCTGATTGATGCTCTTTCTTTGGTTTATCAGTTGTAATACATATATTTATATGTATATATATATATTTTTTTTTTTTTTTGTTGTTGTTGTTGTAGTATTTTAGGGGTCTACATGGTGTTCAGTCTCACTACCAGATCAGACTTGTAGTGATCTGCCTGTTCACAGCCTCCCAAGAGCTGGGATTACAAACATGCACAACCACACCCAGGCTCAGCATGCCCCAGGGGCAGGGCTGGCATGGTAGGCCCGGGGAACAAACCCCTGGCCCCTGCACCTGCTTGCAGGTGCTTTAATCCACTGAGCTATTTGGATGGCCCTTATATATATTTATTTATTACTGTCAATGTCATAATACTGATAGTTTCTATCACTAATTGGAATAAATATTTTCCTATGTAAGGCTGAACTGTATTTTCCTATGTAGAGTTTTACCTAAAACCTAATGCTTTTAGGTAAATGTGAAAAATGTGCATAATCTCCCAATTTTTCTCTTTGACATGGGCTTTTATGTGCCAAAGAGCTGAGAGGATTATGGAAGGAAACAAGATTGCTTGGTAAAATTGGTAAGGTACAACACAGTGCTTTCAGAAAGACAAGAGGTGTTTGCACTTTGTGCAACGTACTCCTTTGTGGTGGAAGTCTGGAATCAGCCACTGATGATGCTACATTCTGACTTTTACAATAAATTGTTAGTTTGCAGGTCCTGCATTTATGATAGTCATTAATTTGGGGTTGACTTTCAAAATTATAATTTGACAGGGACTACAATGTTGTATTTAGGTGGACAAATGACTACAGAAGATTATTTCAACTAAGTAGTTGAAATATTCTTTAAACTGTATTAGAATGGAATTATATAACTGACAAAAATTAAAACAAAAGACTCACAAAATACTTTGTCATCCAGTCATTTCCAAAAAAAAAATGTTAAGTACAAAATATCTTTTGAAATTCATTTTGTATTTAGGAATCAAACTGTGATAGTTAACTACTGTCAAGCAACTTGAGTAAGCATGCCCAAAGGATTTGATCAGCAGCGCAGTTCTGGGTGTGGCTGAAGGATTTACTGAAGACAGAAGCTCCACCGCCAGGTGTGAGCCGCACCAACCTGTAGGCTGTGGTCTGAGTAAGGAGAACAAGGAAGTCTCGCTTCTGTTGCTTCTACTCCTTCAGAGGAGCTCATCTTTGCCGTGGACTTGTGATTCCTAATACCAACATACTCTTTGGCCTCCTGATAGACTCACGCAGGGCTCTTCAATGAGCTCCAGGCCCTTGACCTTCAACTGGATCCTTCCAATCCCCTTTGCACTCAACCACACCTGACTCTGCAGGTGACCACTATAAGTCCATCCTACAAATCCTTATGTATTTACATATTTTATATTGAATGTGCTTCTCCAAAGTACTGATACACATGTTAATAAGGCTCTGTTCATACTCAGTTTTTCACAATGAAGAGCCAACATTTATAATGGTACTATATGTTGGTCCACCAGAGCTTCACAGATTTAAGTAAGTAACTGTGCACCTTTGACAACAGGAAGAGCAATTAGTTGTCTGGTTAATTTTCATCTCTCTTTCTTCCTGGAGGATGTACACATCTATGGTACTAGGATTTGTGAGTGTGTCTTCAAGCAGTGGGTACTCTTGTGTATGTGGACCTCTTCCTCTTTTGGGTACCCAAATCATCATTCATCACTTCATGGCTTGTGACCCTGAGGCTCATAAATCCTTAGTTTCTTCAGTGTGTTGTTTGTTTTGTTTTGTTTGTATTTAGGGCAGGGTCTACAGGGTCTCACTGTATAGATCAGACTCATAATGATCCTCCTGTTTAGAGCCTTCCAAGTGCTGGGATTACGGGCGTGCATCACCACACCCAGTCTCAATCCCCATCTCCATGCCCCAAGGGTGGGCCAGCACAGCAGGCCAGGGATTGAACTCCCAACCCCTGCATCTGTATAAGCAGGTGCTTTAATCTGCCGAGCTATTTGGCCAGCCCTGCTACAGTATTTGTAAGATGACTAAAAATACATGTTTGATATTTTAATATGTAGTTTTATGTTAAGTTTGAAGCTATCATTTACATATAGTATCATAGTAAATAAAAAAACTAAGGCCAGTACACTGGCCTCAAGTATTCAGGTCAAAATTATTACAAATTATTTTGCATTGGAAAGAAAAAGTTTATTATCTAGCTGGAAATTTCAGTCTTTTTTTAAAATTTTAGTCTTTTTAACAAGTTACATGTTATATAAATCAAGTTTACTTTAGAAGCAAACCACAAATGTTCAAATACCATTTCACCTAAGTCTTATTGATGTTTGACTTTCAGAATCAACTTTTGGTCATTTTCAGTATTATTAATTAATAAGTTTGATAAAAATTCCAATTTGACATTTATAACACAGGTATACAGTATGTTGAAATTCCAGCAACCTAAAGTTTTAGCTACCATGTACTCTTTTTTTTTTTTTTTTTTTTTTTTAAATATTTTTATTTATTTGTGTGTGTGTGTATGTGTGTGTAGCCAGCTCAGCCCACCAGGGGGCGGGGCTGGCTGGCATGTGGTGCTGGGGGATTGAACTGCAGTCCCTCTGCTTTGCCAAGCTTGTTCCAAGTAGGTGCTTTAGACCACTGAGCCATCTCACCAGCCCCCATGTACTCTTAAAATAATGAGCTAAATATTAATCTAGTCTAAGTTATCTAAACGTAAAAAGAAAAAATAGCTTATAACCAATATACCCACTAAGAAATAAATTGCTAAAAAGCATGGACAGCTTCCTCCCTCCATTGTAAAGATCAAAAATCACATGTACAAGTACAGTATTTCCCTAGTCAACTGAAAACCAAATACACTAGGTAAAAGACTAGTAACTCTTAAAGAAGTAACACAAAAATGATCAGTCATACTTTAGGTAGAAGTAATGAATATATTCTTTTTATTGTTATTAGTGTTTCTGCCAGTGAGCTCCCGCAACACCGCCTCTGATCTTATTTGATCCCACTCTTGGCCATGGTCTGAGCCCTGCACACTCCCTTCCCTTTCACCTCAAAGGGAACACCCTTGTATGTGGCCACACAGTCCTCTCTGGTGTACAGGTCAGGCTGGATCTGCTCCCAAATCTTCTTTTTAGGATTTAGCTCCTTGTCAGGTTCCCCTGTTGGGAGAGAAAAAAATCACTCACTCAATCAAGGAAAAACACATAAATTATAAAAGCAATTGGCCCCAAGGGTTTGGTGGTGAACTGTCCTGATAACAGTTTTCCCATCTTTAGACCTCATCAAAATATTAATATTTATTTTATTCTTATGATGTTAGCAGTTTAAATTCTTAGTTATAAAACAGATTTTAATGAATTCTTTATGACGGCTAAATAGTTTTTACTGTTATAGTATTTTGGTGGAAAGAGCTTATGTTTTACTCTATGTTTCAACATATACCAATGGCTTAAACGTTCAGATTACCCAGCTGGATAAGAAAGCTGCTTTGGGTTTCATTTACGATCCTTTCTTAGAAGGAAAGAGAGTGAAGGAAGAGTAGTGAAGACACATGACTAGCATTTCCTAAACACTAGGAACATGTTATCTGACGTCTACATGACAGTGTTGATTCTCATTTTAAATATAAGGAAACCCAAGGTAAGAGAAAAGTGCTGGAAACCACAGAATCAAGTTGTTATGGTTTGTGTGTACTGGTCCTCCCAAAGCCTCATGCAGTTATGGGGCGGACTTTTAGAGTTTGTGATTAATTAGTGATCCAGTGCTGAGATTATAGGTGTGAGTGCTACTGGGATTATGGGTGTGGGTGCTACACCTGGCCTGGAGCAGATAGCCCCAATGCAACATAAGGGACACAGACTTGCTCTCTGTGGCCCTTCTGTTACCACTACTCCTCCCATTTGCTCTTGCTGTCTTGCTTTTTACTGCTGCCATGACTGGCTGCTCTCTGCTGTGTGTCACACTGCCTTGGAGCCAGCTTGGAGTCCAGCTTGGAGTGTAGACTGAAACCTCCACTGAATGAGCTAAATAAACCTTTTCTTCCTTCACTGTGAGTGTTGGGTATTTTGTCCCAGCAACAAGAGAAGAGTAACTAAGACACAACTGAGCCAGGATTTGACATCAAAGTTCGATTCTGATACTGAAGCAGCGAGCTTCCTGCTAAGACTCTGAAAAGAACAAAATGCTTCTGTGTGTGTGGATAATCCCCCTAATCTATTAATAGTAACCCACAATATAAACTTTACAAACAATAGAAGATAAATAGACTATAACTGGTCTGTGCTTAAAGAGAAAATAATTCTACTTAATGATAAGAAAGTTGAGAATAAAGTTTAATACAAGTTTAGTTCCCGAGGAAGGAAATACTGGGGAAAAATGATTCATATCTTAATTAGACATCAATTAAGCAACCAGTTATTTTTATGGAGGTAAGAGCTATCTAGCTTCTCAATCTTTTCCCAGGGACTCCTAAGTAGAATTCTCTTAGTGTTACTTTATCTTTGAATTATGAGAACTACCTAAAACTCAAATTTAGATTATATCTTATTAGCTAAAGTAGTATCTATTCTCTATCCTTTATTAGCTTTTCAGAGACTGTGAAATAGGCCAGGACATACACTGCCTTATACCAATTTTATAGTACAGTTAATTGCATAATGTCTTTAGAAGAACATGCAATGAAATGTAAGTGAAAGATTAGTATACAAGATGACTTTTCTTTCCCTTTTAGAACCATGTGCCTGAACAGAGAAACTCTAACAAACAGAATGGAAAAATCAACAATGTGCAAGTATACTTCCCTTTAGATTTACAAGATTTTTTTTCTTTGCCTTAAATACATTTTGTAGTATATTTCTTTTTTTATTTTT